CCATGCAGAACAAGCTTATCCATATGTTTCTTATAGACGTGGGAGAATAGAGTGGTTTCAGGAATTCACACTGATAGCTTTCTAGGAGGTTTTAGACTGATTTACACAAGTCAGCCTTCCCATTGAACAAGTTGAACAAATAACTTTCGCCAGAGGTTGTGATTCTATTACTCAAGTTGGCTGTAACCCAAGGATCACACCCATAGTGCAAAGCATAGTGAACATCAAATATGGTAGTGTAAATACATAAATGGTAGTGTCCTATTAAAAAAAAGCATACACACAAGTTAAAAATACATCACTTGAGATCAATCAAAAACCAACGGCTTTGTGCCTTTCCATTATTTCTGACACCACCGTGTTCCCTTCATTTTTTTTAGACTTCTCTTTTCTATATTTTTCCCATGAACATATGAGAACTTTCACAGTGTGCCTGTACATTTATTAAGACAGGTTTTTTTGGGAGTGAGATTCCTACACAGCACAGGGTTAGCTTTTCTCTGAATCAAACTCCTCTTACTACCAGTGTGGAGCAGGAGTAAAGACAGTAAGTCTCCTACAATGTATTCACCCTACAGGACATCTTAAACTCAGCAACCATGCTCACATTCCAGCCACTATCCCTCTTTGCTATCCATCTTTCCCCCTTTTCTTCTCATCCATCCTTGCTTGAACAATAGTGTAGATACATACAACATGATGTGTATGCACCCAGAGGGAAAGCAGGAAAACCAAAGCAACAGAGATTTCTCCTTCATCTTTTTCTCCCTAAGCAGGCTATATTGACAGATGTTTGAAAATAAAGCCCACAGTCCCCCAGCAAGAAGGCAGAGATGTCCAAAGCTGCTTTTGTAAACCAAGTCACATCTTGAGGGGCAGAATATAAAATGAATATGGAACCCCACAAAATTCTAACAATTTTCTAACCCACGTTCACACAGTAAGTGGGAGAAATCAAATATAAAAAGATGCCCGGTTCTTCCAAAGGTCTTTCCACTGTACTAACACATTTTCAAGTATCATTAAATTGGAGGCAATTCCCTTCCCCTCAATCCACAGGAAGTTTCTGTGCACCGGTGGAAGTGAACTCGGCCCTGTGCCATTAAGACCAGCAGCTGATTTTCTCCATTAGCTTAATCTGTCAAACCACTTGACTGAATTGAAAGAAAGACCAGAAATTCATCTAAGGAAAGGATAAATGTTAGAAGTTTCTTCTTGGTTGAAGACAATGTAGCGCCTGGGTAAGCAGCTGCATTTGTTGTGAGAGTCTGGGTTTGAAGTCTTGTTGAACCATGTATGTGAGTCAATTTAGGGTATCACTGAAACCCTCAGGATACAGTATCGATTTGAGGTTTGTGACACCTGCCATATCTTCTGCACAGGATACTGAGAGAACTCAAACATACAGTGTAAGTCAGCACAGTTCACCCATCTGATATTGTAACTGATTAGAGTAATGGCTGGCATGCAGTAAATATTCAATAAGTGTTAGCCAATTTCAGTAACCATTTCAATATGGTTTTTTAATTTACATCATTGAATCATCCCCTTAATCTCTACTTCTATTTCCCTTTTCTCTTCCTATTCTGAAGCTCATTTCTCTTTGAAGCTTTTATTTAAGAGAAGGAATAAGATTTTTACCTCTAATGAGATCGTCTCTGATTTAAGTCTCAGATAACACAATTTTCCATCTGTGTAATATATTGACCCATGATGCCTGGTGACAGGTACTTGAAGGAGCATTCATTGAGAAAGTGAGGTTTCAAAAAGGTTCCAACACACACACACACACGCACACACACACACACACACACAGAACCAAAATTTGAGACCCATTTTACAAACAGTTACATCAATCATAAAATATAATTCTTGAGAACTAATTTTTTTCTAATTATAAACAATATTACGTAAATTAGTAGATTTTTACAAACTAATGTGATCATGAGGATAAAATACTTCCAACTTCATGTAACATTTTTAAATTCTTGAAGTGGAAGTAAAATGATTTTTTTCCTGTTTATACCTGTTTAATGTCATTATCGAATCTAGACTTCAGCTGTAGTTTGCAATCAAGGCTAACTATACAAATATGTCCTGATTTGTATTTTGTTAGGTGCTCATCCATTTTTTTCATTCTATCTATGAATGTTTGCTGTTATATCTTGTGGAGAAGAAGAACTCACACACAGTAGGCAGTGCAAGGTGAAGGTTCTTCAGTCATCACAAAAATATATTTTTAAATCCAATTTCTCTGTTCCTAGAACTTAAGTTTTGTTTGGTACTTTTGTAAAACAGATTTCTCAGATATGTGATATGATGAATCAAGAATTGCCATAAAAATAACTTTTTTTTTAAAGCAAAGGCCTGTTGTGAAAAGCATCTTATATTCTGATCATTTTCCTTGGCAAGTTGAGAAAAAGCCACCACCCATGACTAGATGTCATCAAGGGCCCCTTACATATGTGTCATTTGAATGGGCCCTATGATCCCTAGTTTCCAAGACACAAAATTCCTTCTAGGAAAAATAAAATAAAGTGTAGCACTGTCTCACTAATTGCAGACACCATGAGAGGCTTGCAGAGAAGCACACCAGCGTTCTAAAAACACTTGCCAACCCACCACTGCACAAGAGGCCAGGACTTTAGTGGAGGAGGCCAATTGACAAAGTTAATGCAGAGGTCCAGGGTTATCGAGAACTGTTGTATAACAGCATTCCACGCTGCGATATTCTGTGAAATCGTGCCATAAAGGAATAGTATTTACAAGCCCCATGGAAAGCAGTGGAAAGGATATGCCAGGCAGGAGCAGTTGGACAGAGCTTTTCATTTGCTTGTCCACGTAAACCCATAGATTATATCATTGACCCTAGGTGCTCAGCAGGTTTGTGATTCTGTCCTAAACTCATCCACTCCCACTTAAAACCCATCACTCTCTACAACGCTGCCCCCAGCCAATGAAGAAGCATTATGGCCACTACTTGCACTGTGCCTCCCTTTCCTAGCTGGACTCTGTCAGGCAGCAACCCATACTTATCATTAGCTGCTGGAGGCCTCCATCTACCTGCTGTCTGCAGCAAGCACCGAAAGGAAGAACAGCAAATCTGCAAGTGCTCACCAATAAGGACAGTGTCTAGGACAGGTGGCAGGGGCTGCAGTGGTAAGGACAGATGGACCAACAACCAGACAGACAGACAGCAGCACCATTAAGACAGCATCCATTACTTCCAGGCTCAGAAGAGGGGAAGCCTGCAGCATGGGGGTGAGGGTGGGAGGAATGTCATTTTTCCACTAGGGACAGAAAGCAGATTAACAAGGGTTCTGCCTCCCTCAAGCTGGCAGGCTTAAAGTATTTGGTTGGTTTTTTTCTCTTTTTTTCTTTTTTTTTGGATGAGAAGGAGCAGGGAATTCAGAAACCTGCTGCTCTTATAGAGCCAGGCCAGCTCTGGCCTTCTAAGTTAACAGCCTTTTATTTTTCCCAGAGTCTATAATGAAAGAGGGGGAATCACTGAATTCCTACTATTTTGCTGTGACCTGACACTCACATCTTTTCCTCAATATAGTCCTCCCTACTCTACAGCAGTTGCTTTTGCTTGAGAGACCCACAGTCTGTGAATGCAGCGTTCCCTATCAGCTGCACTGAAGAGAAGGAGATGCCTTCCCCGACAGCACCTTCCCTTCAGTAGACAATTCGAGAGAGTTTGAGGAAGGCCATGATGGGTGTGCCCTGTGCCCTGGTATCACCCCCTGCTCCCTCTCTAGACTTCCCTGCAATCAGCTAACTCTAGATGCAACAGGTTCCCTTTGGCTCTTCGTGTCAATTGCTTGCCCCAAATACACCTTCTGCATAAGCAGAGGGTACCAAGACATTAGTACCAGTCAGGGTATCTACATCCCTCCACTCCTTTCTGGAAAACTTTACTGAATTTATGAAGACCTCCCAAGGGAAGACAGAGTTGAAATCTCTTTTAACTTCACTCCATGGGCGAGGCTAAGGAGCCAAACCCAGCTTATATGGCAGTTCTTGCAGGCAGTTCTGAAGCAAAAGGTATCACAGACTCCTGAATTACCAATAGTGAACCTTATCTCCTCCTCATGCCCAGGAAAATAGGGGCACCAGGCATCGATCCCCTAAAGGGTGGCTGGGTTCTGTAAACAGGGGATGTGAAGATATTTAATCACCAACTGCTTCCTTTGGGAAATGGGAAGGCCTCAGAGGTCTCTTAGAAGCCAGTAATGAGGAACCCCGATTTTATTTCAGGCCAGAGTTACCAATCAGCTACTGTCATTTTCAAAAAACTTTGTACTGCCAGTGGCATTGCGTGTGGATAAAAAAATGTGTCTTCATATAGTTTATTCTGTGTAGAAGACTTGGGGGTAAAAAAAAAAAAAGGTTCAAGAGAAGCTGAGAAGACAGGTTACCAAAGATGGCAACTGCCCAAAAAAGACCCAACCTTTGCATCGTAAAATGAATGAGCACCAAAACAAACACTAAAAATAAGCCTTTTTATTATATAAATACCAGCACCCTTCACTGTTGTAACTCAGATCTGCTCAACAACTCCAAGGAGGAGCTGCCCTCAGCATCTCTACCTCCACCCTTTTCTCCACTCATCCCCTGGTCCCTAATCTGCCCTCAGCCCGGAGCTCTACCATCGGGTGGGATCAGCTTCATTCAGAGCTGCATATCCCACCCTAAGGTGGTCCCCCTGTCCACCTAGTCCTCCTGGTCACTCCTGTCTCAAGACATCTTCCTGGGGTCTTAGGTTTTTGGCTTTGTAGGATCCTCTCCTTCCTCTGGACTCCCAGACCTCTACCCTGCTCAATCCTGGGGTGGGGCCCCTAGTCCCAAGGTGGGCACCTTTGCCCTCAACCCTGCACCCTCGGCATCCCCTCCCCCACACTCAACCAAGAGGACCTGGTGAGTGAGTGGTGAATGGACGGATGGAGGCACCACCAAGGGATGGATGGCGCGCCTTGGGGGGTTGGGGGGGTGCTTACTTGAGCATGGCCTCTTCTTTTTCCTCCTCTTCCTTCTGCCGGTCCATCACTGCCATGATAATGTTCCTTTCCTCTTCGGTCAGGTGGCTCAGGTCGGGCAGCTCTTGCATAGGGGGAGGCACCGTGGGTGGGCGAGGACCTCGGGGACCCACGGCCGAGGACATTTTTCGTGGCCTGCCCGCCCCCTCGGCTCGCTGGCTCTGGCTCTCACCTTTCGGATTCACGCCCCGCAGCTGCGCCCCTGCTTTCCACGCTCACAGCGAAGCTCTCCCGGCGGCGGCGGCGGCGGCGGCAGCGGCAGCAGCAGCGGAGCCGGGGACAGCGAGGACCCAGTCTCTCATGATGCTCTGCCTCCCGCCGAGCCCGGATGCTGCCTTTGTTTGGGTCGCCCTGGCGAGGCTCGGGGCCGCCCGGCCGCCTCCCGCAGCCCAGCCTCGGCCGGCGGGGGCGGGCAGGCGGAGGCACGGCGAGGGGGCGAGGGCTGGCGCTGAGCTCCGGAGCGCGGCCGGGCGCGGGCTGGGCTAGCGGGCCGGGGGCGGGGCCGGGCCGGGGCCGCCCGACGCTGCTCGCTCGCGGGCTCCGCTGCCTCCAGTTTGGGGCTGCAGGAGGGAGAGGGAGAGTTTGGGTGTCAGTTAGGCGGAGTCTCGGAGCTTCGCTCCCGGGTGATGCTGCTGCTCTCGCAGACATAAGCTGCCAGCCACTCAGTCCTGGAGCCGCTCCGCCCACGGGCACCACCCACCCACTCCCCGGGTCCGAGCCACCCGTGCCCCGGCCGCTCCCTCCGCCCCACACTCGCCGATGTACAGACTCCACTGATCTCTCCCAAGGTACCCCTCACCCTGAGTCATCCTCCTTCTCCCAGGTCCTGGTCCATGTCATCCTCCCCAGCCCTGTTTTCCCATGGGTTGCATTAATCATCTTCATCCTTGCCAGAGTCTTCATCATTGATGCTTTTTGAGCACCCACGGGGTTTGGGGTTTGGATCAACATGATGGTATATCCTCTAGATCTATTTTTCCTCTTCCTGCCACCATATCTTTCTGCTTTACTCGTCTAGTGTGCACAGCCACAGTTGTGTGTGTGGGTTTCTAGATAATTTTGGTGCACACACACACACAACATACACACATCCAGCAACCCGAATTGCCATTGTACCCTTCAGTGCTCTCTCTCGACGGGCTCTCGCTAGAATTGTTCTGCTATGTAGCCTTATTTTCCCCCTCAAGACGCCCCACCACACAGTAACTCTTTAATTTGCCATTTGGGGCACTGGGTAGCCCCATCAGACCGCATAACTGCACTTCGCTGGTGCTTGTAAATGGATTATCTACTCTAATTCCTCCAGTGATGTTCGCTATTATCATGTACTCACTTCCAGCCTCCCTGGGTACTTCTCCAGCAATACCACGATGCCAGGATAAGGAAAACACCCACCCATGTCCTATTGGATTTAGAAGCGTCTGCTCAGTGCCTGGTAACGACGATAGGCATTAAAGGGTGAGCTTCGCTTGGTGATGAAGAGGTGGAAAATTAATAGACAATTCTTTCAAAATACGTAATGTTATCGCCTTTGAAACCTGGAGACTGAATTTTGTTAATGCAATTATAAAAGAATCAATAGAGAGACGGGCTCAAATTGAGCCATTTCCCAGTAAGGATCTTATAGTAATGATGAGACACCGGATGGGTTTTCTCTCCCGGGGAATTCTTTCTGTAGTTCCATAAGCAAGATAGTACCTATTTTCCTCCTTCGGCCTTAACTTTGTTAACATGTGGTGGAGGGGTGGGGTAGGGATAGGGGGAATATACGATGCTAAAAGCTTCTCATTTTAAGATCTTATAATTTAATTGATTTTGCCTGTAAATGTAACTTGTTTTATGGGGAGATATATATGTGAATCTTCTCAGCAATTAAAATGCTTACTACCTACAGTATTAACTTGGTTCTTAAGACTCAGTCTCTCCACTAAGCAGAACTCTGAATTATTTGAAACAACTGCCATGTCTCCTTCAGCCATCTCCAGAGTAAACCTAGCCACTTATCCATACAGTAATGCTTAGCAGTATCATTTATGTATCTGGTCATTCATGTTGTCTGACTTTGAACACATCTAGTTCCCCCCATCTCTTTCTCTCCCTCTCTCCTTATAAAATAACTATCGAGAGGATTATACACAAGAACAATCTGCAGTACTTAAGTATTTATTAATGCTTTATAAACATCATGTTTATACAACCCAATATTGGACATTTTTTATAGTTGCGCCAATTAAGAGATTGTCAATGAAATAACTGTGTGGTCTGCTAAATTTTCCACTAATCTTTTCATAGGTACTGATGTCTAGCCAGATTTCCTCTTTTCTCTAATTAAGCAGTTGATAGAACATTCTGATCAGCATCTCTTCTTCATTAAAAAAATTATACTTGCTTCTCCTCGCTGATCACATATTTAAGAAGATTTAAGAAAGAGAAAGAAAGGAAGGAAGGAAGGAAGGAAGGAGGGAGGGAGGGAAGGAAGGAAGGAAGAGAGAGAGAGGGATAGAGAAAGGGAGAGAGGGAGAGAGGAGGGAGGGGGGGGGGAGGGAAGGGAGGGAGGGAGGGAGGGAGGGAGGGAGGGAGGGAGGGAGAGAGAGAGAGAGAGAGAGAGAGAGAGAGAGAGAGAGAGAGAGAGAGATCTGAGTTGGAATTCTGACTCTATTCAAGACAATGTTGACCCTGGCTAAATAACAGCCCTTGCATCTGTGTAAAATAGAGTAGAGGCATGTAGGCCAGATGGATGGTGTATATTAAATAAGACACATGTTAAGTTGTCATCTGTGTGAAAACCTCTTTGTATGCTTTTTTTTTAAATTTCAAGGTCTTCCCAAGTAACATGTTTATCACTCTGTTATTAAGGCACTGAAGGAAGCTGCAATACAGACAGCTCAGTCATTCTGCCAGATGCCCATCTCTGAGGAGTCAACTTGGAAATTTGAAAAGACCATGGACAAAGCCCCATGCCCTCAGGAAGTTTGTAATCAAGTTGGTTCTCCTGAAATTCTCCCGAAATACAGATAAAGCCTCTGTATAGATGGGAACTGGCTGAGGAAAACTCTCGACTGAAAGGACTCAATAAACAATTAATAACGCTGTTTTAATTTATTTTGGTTGCTATAATAAAATAGCATTGGTAGAGTGGCTTATATAACAGGAATTTATATTTGGAAGGTTTTGAAAGCTGAAATCTCAAGATAAAGATGTCTACAGGCTTGTTTCCTCTGATGCACCTCTTCTTGGCTTCAAAGCAGCTTCTGTATATATGTCTCTTTGGTGTCTCTCCCTCCACATGCAAGAATACCTGTCCTATTAGATTAAGACCTGACACTTATAGACACATTTAATCTTATTTACCTGTTTAATTTAGACCTTGTGGAGGGCTGAAGAGATGGCTCAGCAGGTGAAGGGACTCACCAACAGGTCTGACAACCTGAGTTTGATAACCAGGACTGACATGGTCAGAGAGAGAGCCAGCATGAGCACACACACACACACACACACACAGTATGCAAAATAATTCTTGTCTCCAAAACATGGTTATATTTAATAGAACTGGAAGTTATAATTTCAGCACAAATTTGGGAGGGAATCCATTTTATTACATAAAATGTTGTCAGAATTACTTGAGGAAAATGACTATTTACACTATTACCTTAATATCAATATAAAGGAATCCGCTGCTCAGATACACTTTTGTTCATAGCTACCTTACTAAGCCATGTATGTGAGTGTGAAAATAGTAAGTGAATAAATGATGGTGTATGTGAATAAGTGCCAAAACACGATGTTTCTTCTTTCTCATCCATTATGGAGAAGATCAAAACAAAATTTGAAAGCACCAAAAAAAAGAGAGGTTTCTTAAATGTGCATGCATAAAAGCAGAACTTCTCGGTCTTTAGACATGCAAGCAAACAGTTAAGGTGTGTGTGCCCCTGAAGTATATGCTGCAGCTAGTTAGTTCCTGGAAGCACGCCACTAAAACATGCTCAAAGAACTTGGGAAAATTTGCACAATAGCTCTCTCCCAGAAACTCACAAGGTGCACTAACAAATAGAAAAGTGCTAAGGTATAATCGTTTGCTGCAGTAAAGAAAGCTGCTTTATGTGGATGGCTGCTTTTTCCCAAATGCATTGAGCCACAGAGCTGTTATCTCCTGATAGGAAAGCATGCCTCAGTAAAAGTTTGGGAAAAAAAGCTCTACTCAAATCCTGTTACCTGAAGCCTTTAATTAGAAGGGCATGAAATGTCTGGTATAAGTCTCCTTGTGTGACCAGTATTAGTAAATATAAATAAATAAAACCTTAGTTATCTATTTATAAAGCATGTATCCCACCTCCTTGAGGGCAACATGAATTGTTTTAGAACACAGCCTGAAACCATCCAAATCTATTCTTTCTGTTAATATTCTAAAAATCGTCACTTCTCAAAAGCACTCTAAAATTGGATACTGAAATTCATTATTAATTTAATTCAATTAACTGAGGTTTTTGAACTGTAAGGTAGAAAATCACTGACACAAGTCAGTTTAACCCCCCCTTTTGCATCTGAGAGCTATGGTCAGTAAGTATTATTGCTTTCCAAATCAAACCTAACGGAAATTCAGATGGCGGTATTATTTAGGAGAGGTGCATCACAGAATTAGCTAGTCATCTTGGATTAGGTGTCCTTATAAAGCAAGAACACAGACATCCAGAGGAATGGAAACTGTAGGTAAAGACATAAAGAGATACACATGGGGAAGAAAGCCATGAGAAGACGCAGGCAAAGGGTAAGTCATGCTGCCACAAACCAAGGAGTGCCAGGAGCCATCAGAAACTAAAAGCATCCATCTCAGAGTCAGTCCTAGAGACTTCAGAAAGAACATTGCCTTGACTAACCACTTGGATTTTTATTTCTAGCTTTCATGATTGTGAAAGAAAACATTTCCATTCCTTCAAGCCATAGTTTCTGATACTTGTTATAAAGTATCCCACACACCTAGTGTAGCAGCTATGTGCATTTGGACAAATCAGTAAATGGCCCATTCTGCTTAGTTACTAAGTTAACATAACACATGCCTTCAAAAGTCATAGAGAGGAGGAAATATGGCAGACATTTACACAGTGCCTAGAAGATGGAAGTGACTTTATTTATTCCTTTAGAGTGCATAGATTGAAAAATTGTTTTGTGCTCAATGTTAACAGTATATATGATTGGAAAATATAGAGAATTAACAAGTGCTAACCACGGAAAACAGTGCACACGAATGTCCTATATTGTGAATAAAATGTCTCTGAAATGGACACATGCTTTGTTTCCCATGTTATCTCTGCCTGTCTGCCTGCTACAGTGGTAGAGTTTAGCAGATGCAACAGAGGTCATGTACACTAAGCTCTAAATGATTACCTTCAGCCTCTTTACGAGACTATCGATTCTTACTCTAGACGCATGCAATACCGTTGAGAGAGACAAGCGTAAGTAAAGCATACCAGAAACCTATATGATAAAGTAGACAGCAAGTTTCCATATGCAGTTGGAATTGTT